TATTTTCTGTCCATTAGAAATTCTGTGACATGCACAGACTAAACAATCTTCACAAAACTTTGTTGCTGTTTGAGAAAAAAAATAACTGTTAACCAATTTGTATCCATCCATTTCCCAATCCTCCCGTTTGACAAATGGTCCCCCATTGGTCAAAACACAAAAGGGATGGAAAAATTGTTTAGGTAACCATTTAAGCCCCACCAGATGTTATTTGGAAAAAAAAAAAAGAAAAAGAAGGAAAAAAGGTAAAATCTAAGAGCTCAATTTGTCCAGTTCAAACCTCATCTTAGCAAAAAGGTGGGGACATGCAGCAGACCCTTTAGCAGCCTTGCAGTTCACAGGATTTTGGGCAGACAGCTAAGTAAATAGTTCAGCCTCATAAATCAGCCTAGCAGGAATGACGAAGATTTAAAAAAAAGAAGGAATCCAAAAAAAACTAGACTGAGATAGCTTGAATGACTAAACTGAAGTATTTAATGATAGAAACATTTTATTCATTTTAATATCATTATTAAATGTTATATGATTATATAAACCCTTATATATATCTTCCGCTTTTAACACATGCTTTCTCATGTGTCAAGATAACAACAGTGTTCTATGGGTGTGATGATCTGGAAAGGAAAAGCATTTCAGATCTAGAGAAATGTAAAGTGGCCCCTTATTTTGTTTCTTGGGTGTTGTTTACTGAATGCAAAATTATTAAATTAATTATTTTTAGGTATGACAGGGTGGGATTTGAAAGGAGTCAGATTAGAATCGCCCACAGTGTCTTACGAAATGCTGGAATAGCAATGTAGTAACAATCAAAAACGCGCAGTACATGTGACAGCCCTGTTATTACAGCATTTAATTGATTAATTAATCGAAAAGAAAAGGTAACTATTGCCTATTTATTACCAAATTATTTGAGCAATACAAAAATCTAGTCTCCCTGCTCATCCACTATTCATAGTTAAACAGACAAAGTGGATTGGAAAACACCAGAGGTGTGGTGAGGTCATATATTATGAGGTGAGAAAAAAGGCAGAAAACAGTTTTATATTAGATAATCCTCAGATATCTCTAACACAATACATCATTAACGAAAGGTACCTATAGATAAGAGAAAAATAGAAATGTTTGCTATGATAGGATATATCAGAGAAAGCTAAATAAAACCTGACCAAACTGTTAGTGGCAGTTTTGGAGGAGAGTCAGCTGTGCCTCATTCTGTTATTTTCTTTTCCTGTTGCACGTTTTCTATTACAGTCACTCAACTGTCCTCACGGCGGCCCCTCCTTTAATGAAGAGCCGGTCCATACGGGGCTGTTTGCAGTCTGTTGAGGATAGTGCCTCCTATTTAGTGACCATGGAGCAAAGGTGATAGATGGATCCCCGCAGTTGGCCCCAGGGACAGTGAAGTCTGTTTGTGAGTCTGGTTGGGGGTCAAATGATAGCTCAGATTGCCCCCGTCATCTTCCTCCTCTAGTTTGGCTCTCTGAAAACCAGGGTAATAAAAGTTATCCTCTATTAGAAAAGGATTTGTAGCCTTCAGTTGATAAGGTGGAGGTAGAACAGAGAGCAGCAGGCTTGCGGTAAAGTGGGATACCCTTCTCTGAAATGGCCTATTTGTGGTAGATGAAAAACCCATATGGTTTTGGGGATCAGCCCTTCTTCTAGAATCCACCGAGCGGACAGATCAGCGAAGGATCCTGTTCTCGTGACGCCAAATTGTGGAGTAAAAAAATTAGCACTGAGAGTTGATATGCAAGGAAGAAAAGGTTTTATTTTACTCTACAGGGGAGAGCGACACGAAACAGCTGCGTACAGTACAGCTCCCAGTGTGGCAGGGAAAAAAATATGACTCCACACTCTTTACCTGGCAAAGAAATTATTGATGCAACAAAACAGAGAAAGATTGTTTGTGTTGGGATCTGGAGGCTTGTCACCTTTCTCCACCAGAGGGAGCCTGAGATCTTCCTCCTGAGGGCGTGAGCTGACTTCTGCACACCTGTTTTCCATCTGCTCGTCTGGAGGCCTTCTTTTGGCGACACATGGCAATGACAGGAATCCTCATAGATTCCATGAGGCGCCCACTGAAGTCAAAGGATACATGTTTGGAATTGTCTCATTATGTTGGGGACCAAAGACTTTATCTTCGTTGGTTACAAGCGTCTCTAATCTAAAATATGGAGAAAATTTTGTTCCACTATTGTTGTGAGTAAAAGCAAAAAACAATTCAGAAACATTTCAATTCAGAAAAAGGTTTTCAGATTATCTACATTATTTTTAATGAAACAGTTTTTAGTTTGTTTTCGAGTTGTATTTTAAAAAATAATGATACAGATTTTATATTTTCATTTTTTTTTCAAATGTCTGTTTTTCAGAGTCTTATAAATGCATCCTTTCAAACTGCATTGTACAGATCACATTCTATTTGTTTGTCGATTTTGGCATTGACACAGTTGGAATTTTGCTTACAGTAGGGAGGGCACTAATCTGTAAAATGTAATTTGAAACAAGTTTGTAAAACTCAATTTGAAAAACAGAAATAAAAAAAATTGCCTAAAAGATAAATGAAACAATATGAAAAAATATCATCTGAATAATATATAATTTCTTTTTGTTAAAACACTAAAGTTACTTTAACAACCTATTGTCTGGTTAAAGCGTTTTTCAAGTTAAAACATTTTTTTCACAGATTACACGTACCGTATTTTCACGACCATAAGGCGCACCCTACTAAAAGGCGCAGTCTCAGTTATGTGTGCCATTTCTGTATTTAACACACACATAAGGCGCACCGGACTATAGGGTGCGTTTTTATATACAGGTACATGTCCTCTACTACCTTTAAATACCTCTACTGCGTATTTAAAAATACAGCGGGGGCAAAACTGAGTATGACTGTGCTTTATTCATGTATTTATTACAAAGTATTAATCAAACCTGGGAGCTGGCCGTGAGACAGACACATCGCAGATGACAGTGATCACTCCTAAATTAACTTAAAATCCTGAAACCTGCCGACGGAATATGTTCGCTTTTATTGCCGGTATCCTGGTGCCTGCAGTTTAAATTATTTAGATGAAAAACACCTGCCAGCCACCGCGGTGTACCCGGAGGCTACCCGGCCCAGAGGCTGCTGTTGAAGGGATTTCTACTGTCGGTGTACCGCTGGTATGTGGGGGTCTGAGCGCCTCCGACAGAAATAGTATAGGCAGGATAATAATCTGGATGAACTGACTGCAATTATTAAGTTTTCAGGTGGACTTTCTCACTTAAAAAACATATTAAAACTACTTTATTCCCACTGATCACAGCAAATATAGCTGCAAGATTTAGATTATTTAGATGAAAAAACACCTGCCAGCCGCTGCGGTGAAACCGGAGGAGACCCGGCCCAGAGGCTGCTGTTGAATTAAGTTTTCAGGTAGAAAAATAGAGCTGGAGCAAAATTGAGTATGATTGTGCTTTATTCATGTATTTATTACAAAGTATTAATCAAACCCATCAAAGTCATCATCCTCTGTTTCTGAATTAAACAGCTGCACTAAATCAGACATGCCAATTTCCCCTTCTTCGCTGTCAGAGTCACTTTCCGTGCCGGGCAGCTCCTCAGAAATAATGCCGGCTTTTGCGAAAGCTCAAACAACAGTGCCAGCAGGCAGCAGACACGTTAGTCCAAGCATCAACAATCCATCCGCTAACGGTGGCGTAATTTCATCCATCGCTCCCACGCCGCTCGCAGCCTTACTTTGAACGGCCGGTTCACATCGATGTCAAGTGGTTGAAGTTCCTTTGTCAGACCCCCGGGATAACAGCGTTCATTTGATTCACCTTTTTTTTCACATCGGCTGTGAGATGGGCACGCAGTCACAGATTAACAGCGATGGTGATGCGTGGAAAAAACCACCTGGTCTCCTCACAGACACCTGCCTCAGCCACGCTTTCATCATCTCCTCATCCATCCAGCCTTTTTCATTTGCCTTAATATCATATGTCATCAGAGCGATGTGTCTGTCTCGCTGTTAGCTCCCAGGTCAGCTTCTCTGATTGGTTGATGCGGCGCGTCCAGCAGCAAAACTTAAATTTTTCCATCTCGAGCAGCAGCAGCGCGTTGGCAGATGCTTAAACGCTCCCGACGCGCTGCGCCTGCTGCTCAAAACGTGGTGCGGGACCTTTTGCTGCGCCTATACACGCGTCAACCATTGACTTCGCATGTAAACACGCTGCTTCTGCTGCACCTGCTGGGTCCGGTTCACACCGATGTCGAGCGGTTGAATAACAGCGAGCACAGTGTTAATTTGTTTCACCATGTTTTTCACATCAGCTGTGAGATGGGCCAGCATGGAGTCACATATTAACAGCGATAGTGATGAGTGGAAAAAAAACACCTGGTCTCCTTACATTCAGCCACTCTTTCATCATCTCCTCAATGAGGTGGTCTCAAAAGTCACAGTTACAACACACATAGGGCGCACCGCACCAAAGGGCGCACCACACATTTTGAGGGAAAAAAAAGACGTTTAAGTGCGCCTTATAGTCGTGAAAATACAGTAATTTAAATTTTTTTTTCAAATTTTTATTTACAAAACTTTGCTTGCATAAATTATGGAATGAAATTTACTCCATACACATAAAGCGAATTTGAACAATTCTTCTTTGATACTGTGATAAAAGTTTGTAAATAATAGAAGAGAGAAGGCACAGTTAACTGGAAGTCTTTAAGCACTGCTCCAGAGGTAAAGAGTTGGTCTCCTGTATGTTGTTAATGAATCTCTACTTTTTAGCTGTTTATCAGCATCTATAGGGCCCTTCTAATTATCAGGTTATTTGGTTAGAGGTGTAAATTCAGGGGCACATAAAAAACATGCAGGATGCTGGTACTGTAGGACTGACTTTTGGTAACTTCCCTCCTAAAATTTCATTATCTTCTACTTCACTCTGATAAGGATATATTGATGTTCTGGTTAAATATGCTTGCAGTAATCGAGTTGTATGTTTTGTCTCTCCAGGTAAATTCTACTATCTTAACCACCCCTCTAAGCTGACCTATGATGAAGCCGTGAGGGCTTGTCAAAAGGATGGTGCTCAGATTGCTAAGGTTGGCCAAATGTTTGCTGCCTGGAAGCTGAATAAGTACGACCGCTGCGATGCCGGCTGGTTGGCGGATGCCAGTGTCCGTTATCCCATCTCTAATCCAAGACGACGCTGCAGTCCCACAGAAGCTGCTGTGAGGTTCATGGGCTTCCCTGACAAAAAGCAAAAGCTGTACGGAGTGTACTGCTACAAGGAAAACAATTAGGCTGTGAAGGCTATTCTGCAAACACTTATATACAGTTCACAAGCATGCACAAACATTAGCATTGAAGAACACTCTCAAGGACTAAAACACATAGAAAAGGGAACTCCAAAGAATGGACGGGTACATTAAATCTGTGACAATCTAAGATTTAAGACCTTGCATCATTCTTTGGGATCTTAAACATATTTTACACATTATTTAATCAATGCCTTTAATAGGTTGGATAAGTCAATAAGATATGGAAATACTATTCTCTAGTGAATGTTGTACTGTCATATAAGAATGGTTAAAAAGAACATGCAAGGAGGCCCCATTCCTCTTTTCCACTAATGTCTAATCCATTCAGATCAGGTTGGGTTGGTTCAGTTCAGTTAGATTAATTTCTCATTATGACGACGTTGTTCCCAGTAGGAGTGGACTCTTTAAATTCAGTTTAATCCTGGTTATTTATATAGCACCAATTCACAACACGCCATCTCAAGAAACTTTACAGTTAACCAGATCATCCAGTCAGATTGATTAGAAGTTTTCTATCTACAGAAAACCAGTTGATTGAATCGACTCATTGACTCCGAGGCAATCCCTCACACTAAGCATGCTTATAATGACAGTGAAAAGGAAAAACTTCCTTTTAACAGGTAGAAACCTCCAGCAGAAGCAGACATAGAAAAAAAACAATTACAAGGCGGCCCTATAGTTTTAAGAAATGTAATCTGTAGAGAGACCAACAAGCAACGATTGGACTCTTTCTCTTTGTGTCTACGGTCAGATTCATATTAAAATAAAAGTACCTGGTGATGTTGTGGGAAGCTTAGATGAAGCAGCCAGGTGAGAGAGATAATCAATGCAGTATCAAACAGAAGCATACAAGCTAAAGTTCAAGATAAGCTAACGCTACCTAATACCAATGCGAAGTACAGCTAACTTGCTATAATAGTACTCATACAAGAGAAGTCTAGCATGAACTGTTCTCACAAATTAGGATTTTTGTTATTACAGCATACTATAACTACTAATGCAACAAATCTGTCTAACAGAATAAGTCCTCTGATGTCATGTTTTCAGTGCAACCTGGCACTAAAAATAGTGCCGGTGTTCTTTCAGACCAGCATACCCTGTCAGACCAGCATACCCATTGTCAATATGCATGCGCAAGATGTCAGATTTGAGTTTATCCCTTTAGTTTTGTATAAAAAAATGACTTTAAACTACCTTGACAGACATTTATCCCTTAAATCATGTACAAAAAAAAAACAATTTAAAATGAAATCACCATATGCTTCAAAGAACACCAAAAAGTAAGTGATTAAATTGTTTTTTTTGTACATGACTAAAGGGATACACACCCGTTAAGGTAGTTTAAAGTCTATTTTTCTTACAATACTAAAGGGATAAACAGGCATAAACTAACTCAAGGGGCGTGTATTCATTTAGTCATGTACAAAAAACCTGTTTAATTCAAGGGTGTAACTTTGTGATAAATGTTGGTGGGGACGCTCTAAGGATAGTGTCTGATGGACCTACAGCTACTCAACCCGAACGCTTTCAATAGGGTTTATACTTTCCATAAATGAGCTCAAACATATATTTATTGAATGCTTTCCTATTGTTGAGAAACACAAGAGAACCACAATATTTATAGTTATAGACAGATGCCTGCCTTTAGTGCATTATTTATAAAGGGCTCAATAACATTAATGTATAAAAAAATAACAGCCAATAACGAATAACAGCCATTACCGATGCCCACATATCAATATATCATGCATCCCTAGTATGGACACAACTTCATTTCCATCCATCCATCCATGCATGTATTCCCTTTAAGCTGCTTAAGTGATTATCCTCCTTCACAAGCAACAAAATCTAATTTAGAAATTTGTCCCATATGTCGTTGACAGCCAAAATCTATATATTAAACCTTATATTTCAAAAATCATTTATACACTGATTTTTATTACTATTGTGCTTAGGGCTGCAACAACGAATCGATAAAAAGCGTACGCAAAGAATTTTATCATCGATTAGTTGTGTCGCGCGATTAATGCGTCATCCGCGGCCGCCGTCATCACATCCACTTGACTGAAACGGGGGAAGAAAAAAAAATACGGCAGAGCGAGCCAGCGCTGCAGGGCGCAGTGTTGCCAACTCAGCGAGTTTTCAGACCCCTCCAGCGACTATTTTTCAAAAAAGCGACTAGCGACAAATCTGGCGACTTTTTACGGTGTCACTGGCGGCTTTTGGAGACTCTTACGTGAAAGCATGTATCGTTCCTACTCTGCCGTGGGGCGCCAACCCCAACCCCGTTCTCCCTCCTCCCGCAGCAGTCCCTCTCAGCGCTGCAGTCAGAGCCGCAATAAGTTTACCCTCAGCGTCCAGACTGCAAATGAAGCTCGCATGTGCCGGGATTGAAGGCGCAAATTGATCACAATAATTAAAATAGCCTGCGCTTTGTAAAGTGAAAAAAGTCGTAACATGCAACTTTTGTCACAAAAAAAATGAACATGGCATGGAAGCACCATGTTTGTTTCGTTTTAAAGTGGGGAAACGTAACGTTAGTTTCTCAGGTAGCTCATCTGATGCTTTCCTTACCTTGTTAGTAGGTAACAGATAGTGATAAGGTTGGCTACTTATTTTACTTGTAATTTCATTTGAATTAGCTTAAGCAGCGTTTATACTTACTTTATAAATAAATTAACTTGCAAATTATGAGGGCAAGGCTTTTAAAGTTTAAATCTTCTGGCAAAGATAAAGTAAAGAAGATCCTGCAATTTATGGAAGTAAAGCAGAATAAAATCCAGCAAGATCAGTAATATGTCAATTAATTATATGCCACATTCCCATGTAAATATCTGTTTTTGGAAGATGTGTTTTTTTAGCACCCCTAGTTCTCTCATTTTTATTCCAAATGCAATTTATAATTTGAATCACAGGGCTATTTTTATCTCTATGGTTAAGTATTTTCTTAAGTAGCAACTTTAACTGCTATACTTTCCTGTCTTAAAAGGCAGAACTCTTCTAGTCTAAAAAAAACTCATTTGTTGAAATGGGGGGACCTATTGTTTGAACCCCTTAGGGGCTTTAAAAAACAAAAATGTATTTTTTTGCTCTTTATGAAACAAAGTACCCTATATTTTGTGGATGTACAGCTACATTTCTCATGTAAGTTTGCGTAGTTTTAACACAAACATTTATTTTTCATATTGCACCAGTACAGTTAATGAGCAACCTGTACTTGTGTGCTTGTTTGTTCTGTCTAAAATGTTTATTTTGGAATAAAGAGGTTAATATAAAAAATATTTTTTGTCCGATTAATCGAAAAAATAATCGGCCGATTCATCGATTTTTAAAATAATCGTTAGTTGCAGCCCTAATTGTGCTTTAATTCCGCAACTTTCTTATATTTTAATTTTAAGCCTGTTTCCGGTGAGTCTGACTGTCTCTTGGCTGGTACAGCTATTTCTGAGTCTTGCTGAACTACAAAAGACAAAAAGATATGTTGAATTTTATTATAGCATTGCATATTTATTTTTGCAAATATGGGGATATATTTTATTGCATGTTGCATATCCCAATAAATCTGTTTCAACTTTAAATCAGCAGCTGTCCTTTAATTGTGTCTCTGCTCTGCTTAAAAACAGATTTATGAACCTGTCTACCAATATAATGATGCCAGACACACTAATTTTCAAGATATCTAGAAGCTATGCAGTCTAATTCTCTGCCCATTAAGAAAACAACAAATATGTGTTAATTTTATTCTGTAACTCTGAAAAATGGTCCTATGAGAAGCCCAGTTTTTTTAACTTATATAAATGCACACTCTGTTGCCATTTTTAGCTTAAAAGGTTCAGTATCTGTAACAAATGGATTTTTCGGTGGCATCTCTAATTTTTTTTAACCAACCTGTCTCCTAACCTTTACTGAAACATATATTGAAGTAGCTGCTGGTTAAAATTCACTGAGTGCTGTTGTGTGTCTCCTCCTCCACATAGCTACTCTGTACACAGTGAATAGCGACCCCAAATTATATTTTGTCCCAAAGCGACAGATCCAACAATATTTCATCAAGAGGTGGGACTCGAGAGACTGTGAGGAAATTATTGGTGGGGACATGTCCACACCAATCTTTCAGAAAGTTATGCCAGTGAGTTAATTACTTACTTTTTTTTAAGTGTATTGTGATCTGACCTTAAATATTTTTTTTTTGTACATGTCTAAACGGATACATGCCAGTTGAGGTAGTTTAAAGTCTATTATTTGTACAAAACTAAACTAAACACAAATCTGACGTATTGCACTTCCGTATTGACTATGGGTTTGCTGGTCTGACACAGTATGCTCATTGGACAGAACACTGGTTGGCTTGGGCTCTCAATGAATCATGGGATACCCAACGGACCCATCCTTTAAAAAAGGCAAAAATAAAGCTGCATTTGTCTGCCCCACAATGATGAGACTTCCAATCTTCCAATCCGAACAGTTAATTGCATCAACTCATTGATTCGAAGGCAACCACTCACACTAAGCATACTTGTAGCGACAGTGGACAGGAAAAACTAAAATTTAACAGGAAGAAACCTCCAGCAGATCCAGATTCAGTGTGAGCGGCCATCTGCTGAGGCCGACTGGGGTTCAAGGAGACAGAGGCAGAGATACAAAAAGAAACTGTAAAAGGCAGCAAGGCAGACAAGCTCCAAGCCAGCTCCCACGTCAGAGGATGAAGAGAGCACAGATAACGCTTCACTTTAGATCTTAATGTCCAAAAGTCGTGACAGAAATAATACTTCAGTACAAAGATTGATGTTGTATGGGACTAGCCAAGGAAAGTGGTGGAATTTTGATTGGCTACTACTGTATCTGCTGCAGTATGCAGATAGGGAGGTGGCCTACTCTGGAGATTTTTGAAATAAAGGTGCTAGATAGGTCTGAAAGGTAGCATCAAAAGCGCTAAGTTTGCAACACTGGTTTCACCGAAAAGTAAATACCGGTAAAAAAAAAAAAAAAAAAAAGACCTGCTGTGATTCGATACTAGTGGAAAATGGGTATATAAAAAAGCAAGAGATGTTGGAGCAAAACTTGGTCAAGCATCTTGTTTTTGGTCACCAACTAAAACACCAAAATGGTGGACCGATGAGA